AGATATCACAATAATGACAAATCTTATACTCAAAACAAACCAGTGTATTATATGAACATATTCAATCAAGGACTAAGTCATTTTTTATAATACCATGAATACGCAATCACAAATTTTAGGCTCTTAATGACGTGGACATGTGAAAAATACATAAACCAATTGCAAATAATGTCTACAAGTGGAAAAATAGATAAAGTAATTAATCCTAATTCGTGAAATGCTAAAAAGTAGTCAATCTTAACTGCATTATGTATATTTGCAGCTTAAAACGATACTTCACTTCTTCTCGTTTTTCTCTTAGTGGCTGCATTATGTTTAAGCAAACTACAACATCAACATTAATTTTTCAACAAGCAAACACATCATAGAATTGATATATACAAAGACAACCTTAAACTATCTCTTCCATGAAGTAACATATGTAACATAGTTTAGCTCATCTGATATTCTGGTGTGTTTCTGATGCAACTCCGAAATTGGAAATATAGTTTGATATCAGCTTTTACCGCCAGTTGTTAATAGCCTGTTACTCTGTTAGTCATAATTATATTCATTTTTATACGTAAGTCATAATTATATTCATTTTTATATGAATGCTGGAAGTCACATACATATATTATAGATGCTGTGCATGTTGTATGCTATCTCAATGTTTTGTGCATTTGTTTCACCGTAAAGAGGATGTTCATGTTACTAGTTATAACACTAATTGCAAATGTATCTTATCCTTGTCTGTTGCAGTTTGTCTTTCACGAGTGGAGTAATGTTTTGAGACACTTACATTGTAATGCTCCCAGTTAACTATTTTGCATTAAAGATGCTTCATATTAGGATTCTGATCTGGTTCATTTCATAATTTTTAGCTTTAATTACATATATTGACTTGTATGCTTTGTTAATTTACTTAAGAGGAATAAACAAAACAAAAAATTATAGAAAAACATTGCATTAGCATCTGATATTCTGGTGTGTTTCTGATGCAACTCTGAAATTGGAAATATAGTTTGAAGCTTCGTTTCCAAATCAGTTAGAAACGAGATTATCCCTATATCTACTATTCTACTTTAGTGTATTGAGGTTGGCCGCTCCCCGCGTCTATCCTGTTAAGACTGGTTTTGATATGAAAAATGCCGGTGTTAGAAACTGGTTCTAATATGAATAAACACCGGGAAATGCTACTCTTTAAGAGTTACATACAATACAAGACAATACTCTAACTGTCACAAACAACCCCTAGGAATTAGAGAGCCTATTGTCGCCCAACCCAGCCAACATACAGAATACCCAATCCCCTCCCTTTTCCTTTCAGCCTATATTTATAACTATTAACTTTTTTCAGCAGTTTTTGACTTCCTGCAGATGTTAGACAGCAGTTACTGCAAATTCAACATTTAACAATAATAAAATAATTTGCCTACTAGTAAAACATAATTTCTGTTGCAGCATTAACTTGATTTATATGCTTCTTTCTGACATAAGTCCTAGTGATAAGAGGCCTTTTACTAACACATCCATTGTTATTAGTTTGTGTTTAAAACAATTAAATTTTATTGCAATTGTTGAGTTATTGTGATGTGAAGTCATGTGGTTAGGACTTAGAAACTTGCTTTGTCTATTACTAGTAAATTACCACAACTTGCTTATCTCAAATTTACAAGATTTCGGAAGTACTTTATTTCTCAGCTATTATTTTGCTTTACCAAAATTCTTTTTGACCATGCTGAATACACAAGCATCAGGATTTCTTGTATATGACAAAATTTCGTCCCTGTTCTGACTTCTGTGCATTTTATCTGATTTCTATGTTGACAATAGATCTGATGTTGTTCTGTCCATTTGATCTGATTTATATGTTGATAGTAAATCTGATTTTGTTGATGTTGGCATTTATATTCAAGAACTGTATACTCTCAATTAATACATCATGTTAATATATTTGCTGGTAGTTGTTCGCAGTTTAAGTCTCATAATTTCTTACATTGCAATCAACAGTTTTGTGAGTTTTATTTCTTACATTGCAATCAACTGTTTTGTGAATTTTATTTCTTACTGCAATCAACAGTTTTGTCAGTTTTAGTTTTGCAGCAGTGTTCGGTAATGTTGTTGATGTCTTGTGGATGTTGAGCACACTTGCTATGCTACTGAATTAGCTATTTATGTCTGGTCCCATTCTACATGCATAAAGCATAAATTTCTGGAGATGAAGAGACCAAAGTTATAACTTAGTCTGACATATATTTTGGAAGACATGGTTTAAAAAGTTAAATATGTAGTTTATCTATTTAATGACTCATGCTATACTTTTACACTTTTGCTTATTATGTCTTTGTACCATATATAACTTATCATCATTATTCATTCATCTTTGGCTTTATTATGTAAAAGATGAATATATAATTTTATTGCATAGCCTAAATGTTGCATTTATGTTAGTTGTTGTAGAAGTTCTCTCCATTGAATCCTGTGTGTTTTAACGAACATTCTCCCAACAACTTCAATAATTATATGGTGAATTGATCCCATTCTACTGTAATGTTTCATTGAAGTGAAGGCTGACCTTTTGTCTCAAGTGTTCCAGTTGAGTAATCATTTGCTGTATTGGTAAACTTGAATCTTTCATTACAATATAAAATTTCTGGTGCTTTGTTGCTTGGTAGTTATACAAAATATAAATTCTAAATGGAAATAAAATAATGGATGTTTGGATTTATATTCATCTGATTGTCATTCTATTTCTACCTTCCTTTTTTCCTTTGCTCCTATGAGGCTACGTCACGCCACCTGCCATTATTGTTGAAAGATGTTATATACAGGGTTTTCCATTTATTTTGAGAACAAATTGTTTGAACTTTTTCCACAATGATTGTTAAATGCTCATAAAGGTAGACAGATTCCTCTGTTAGATTCTGTATTTCTCCAAAAATTGTCTATTACTAGTAATTTTGCTTATCTCTTCAACGTGTACATAATATAGCCATTAAACTAGAAATTTGAGATAAGCAAGTTGTGGTAATTTACTCATAACTTTTTTTTTGGTTACGTTTATGAAGTTAAAATGTGTGTGATTGTAGTTAAAATGTGTACACGTACTGAATGAAATTGCAAAATACTTTAAGCGACAGCATTAATAGTGATCTCCCAAGAAGTATGAACCACTTATCTCTTACTGTATTTCCTCTTGCAGCATGATATTACTGAACTATGATACCATAAAGTTAATATTGGCCTTAAAAAATTTAAGTCTTAATAGCAATGTTTGTGAGAGCTGGTTGCATGGAGATGTTTTTTGTTTTTGTTTTTAGGCATAGACCTAGCTTTCACTGTTTTAAGAAATGTCATAATTTTATCTCTATTTTTGATTTCTCAATACCTAAGACTTGCCTACACAAACTGTGTTGGATACATCTCTCCAATAAGATATGTGTTTAGCTAACATTTGAAAGTTAGTGCTTCTTAATTATTATTGTCTCTGTGTAATTCTATATGCTTACTTGATTGCTATGTTATTATGTTAGTTATTAAAACTAATACATATGCTAATGTGCTCTACTCATTAGTCGTGTGACTTAATTTTCAATCAAGTTCAACGTGAAAAAACCAGGACAAGTTACTGTTATTATTTTAATACACACATTCACGCCTACATAAGTTGATAAAATGTGTCATTTGATTATGTATTGATTATGGTTAGTAAGGATGTATGTTTTACTTGGTTGAAGTTAGCCAAAACCTAACAACAACTTTATGTTCATAATCTTTCTTCAATTTTTGTAGCAACTCTATTAGTTCCTTTCAAATATAAGTATAATGTTATTTTAATTACTTGAGGGTGAGTTAACCATGTGATTATATCAATGTTGTGTGATGTGCAGGTTCTCCTGCGTCTTTCCCCATTCCCGCATTGTAACTCGCATTTGCTCAGTCTAACCAAGTTCGTTATGCCACTTTTGAATCCATCGACATCACCGTCCTTTCTTCTAAAGGTGACGTATTCCATTTCATCTCTTTTACTATTTATTAAATTTGTGTTTAATTTTCTCATTTTCTAATTATTTGTCTTTAGATCATTCACCGTCGTTGTTTCGGTTAAACCTCAATAGATATGTCATTGGTTTCAACATTGTTTGGGAAAGAAACGTCTCCGTTTCATTTACTAGCTTTGTTGTTGTTGTTGCAGTGAAGGAAGTTGTGTTGAAATCGAAGTCGCTTTTAACTAAGGATAAGATTTTAGTTTCTATTGCTGCTGGAATCAAGTTGAAAGAATTCAGGTAACAGAACCCAGTCATTCCAATGCTTTCTGCACTTTAGATTAGTTTGAAAAGAAACAACAAATACATATTATATTAGACTATGAAATGTTTGTTCATAATTAGAATATAAATTAATTGTTCTTGTTTTTAAATCTTAACACACACCCCTCATGCAATAGCCCTGTGTTTTCCTACTCATGTTTATGCTAAAACTTCTCATCATTTTATCATAAGGAATCATACCTTATCCTACTCATGTTTATGCTAAAACTTCTCATCATTTTATCATATGGAATCATACCTTATCAAGTTGTAGTTTGAAAGCAAGTAATATCTCTAATTTCACTTGATAAGATCAAATACTTGTATATATTATTAATTCAAAGTCACAGCTAGTTAGACTTATTGGTAAGGGCAAAACACATGAATCCAAAGAAACATATGTAAAACACATCATCCAATGGATATAGACAAAGACAACCTTAAACTATCTCTTCCATGAAGTAACATATGTAAAATAGTTTAGCTCATTTATTTTATGTTTGTAATGCATGTTTAGATTAAAAGTTCACCAATTTATTATATGTTTGGTATTGGAATGCATGTTTAGTGTATATTTAGATTATAAATGAAATTTTTATAATAACTATGCATTTGTAAAAGCTACGTTGATATATGAACCATGGTGTTTTTCCATCCTTTATATGATAAAGATTAACGTATAATTTATTTCATTTTAGAAAACCAAACATGATAAAGAAGGATTGGGTGGAGTTACCTCCACACAGTCAAAGTTATAAGGACGGTGTAAATTACTTTTTGGATATTGCATTCACCAAAGGAATGGTTGAAGAAGAAGAGATTTTGTGTCCTTGTTCTATATGTTGCAATGATAGTTGGGAAGTAAGAGATGTAGTGTATGACCATTTATGTAGTAAAGGATTTGTAAAGGGATACACTGAATGGATTTATCATGGTGAAGATGAGAGCCTTATAGATCTTGATGGTGATAGTGATGATGAAACATCATCTCATGATGATATCAATGGCTTACTATTTGAGACATTTAAAGATGTGGCTGAAGGAGGTGGAGTACATGAAGGGATAAATGAAGATGCAAAGAAATTTTATAAACTAGTTGATGATGCAAATCAAGAGTTGTATCCTGGTTGTGAAAAGTTTTCCTCGTTATCATTCACTATTCGAATTTATTTGTTGAAATGTATCCATGGATGGAGTAATGCATCATTCACTGCTCTCGTAGAGTTGTTGAAAGAGGCTATGCCAGATTTGAACATCCCTATCTCTTTCAATAAAACAAAATCTATGATAAAAGATTTGGGCTTAGACTATAAAAAGATTGACGCATGTCCGAACAACTGCATGTTGTTTTGGAAAGATCATGGGAAAGATGATTCATGTCATATTTGTGGCACGTCAAGATGGATTGAATATCCCGAAGTTCCTAATGATCTTGAAGAATCTATAAAAGCTCATAAGGTTCCCGCCAAAGTTCTAAGACATTTTCCATTGATTCCAAGATTGAAAAGACTTTTTATGTGTTCAAAGACAGTCGATACATTGAGGTGGCACGCAGACCATCGTTCAAGGGATGGGAAGTTAAGGCATCCAGCTGATGCCCAAGCATGGAAAGACTTTGATGTCAAGCATTCAGATTTTGCTCGTGAAACTCGTAACATCAGACTTGGGTTGGCAAGTGATGGGTTTAATCCATTTAGGACCATGAGTCTTTCACATAGCACATGGCCTATTGTATTAACAATATATAACTATCCGCCAAATTTGTGCATGAAGGCTGAAAATTGTTTGATGTCGTTACTTATTCCTGGACCAAAGTCACCCGGAAATGAAATTGATGTGTATTTGCAGCCACTAATTGAGGAGCTTAAGATATTGTGGGAAGTCGGTGTAGAAACATATGATATTTCAAAAAATCAATCATTTCAAATGCGTGCAGCTCTTATGTGGACTGTGAATGACTTCCCTGCATATGCTATGTTATCCGGTTGGAGTACTAAAGGGAAGTTTGCTTGTCCTGCTTGTAATCATAAAACTTCTTCAAGATACTTAAAACATAGTCGAAAGATGTGTTATATGGGTCATCGAGTCTTTTTGGATTCAAATCATAGTTGGAGATCAAATTCAAGTTCTTTTGATGGAAAGCCAGAATATAGGTCTGCACCCTCCTTGTTAGATTCAACAATGATTTTAAAAGACTTAGAAAAGATTCCTGACGTAGTGGGGCAAAAATATCATAAAAAAAGGCCTGGTCCATGGAAGAAAAAGTCTATCTTTTGGCAATTACCATATTGGAAGGATAATTCTTTGCGCCATAATGTAGATGTTATGCATACAGAAAAGAACATTTGTGATAATATAATGGGGACTCTCTTAGATATTGAAGGGAAGAAAAAGGATCATGTAAAAGCTCGTTTGGACCTACAACACACGGGGATTAGAAAAAAACTCCATTTGAAGGAAACAAGTGATGGTAAGAAAACTCAAATCCCTAAGGCATGTTTCTCCCTAACAAAGCAAGAGAAAACTATTTTTTGTAATGTTTTAAAGACAGTAAAACTTCCTGATGGCCTTGCATCCAATATTTCTCGATGTGTTCAAGTTAATGAAGGAAACGTTTATGGATACAAGAGTCATGATGCTCATATTATATTGCATTACTTGTTGCAAGTAGCAATAAGAGGGATAGGCCCTAATCAAATTGTTATCCCTTTGCTTCGACTTTGTTCATTTTTTCGGTGTTTATGCCAGAAGGTTATAGATGTGAAAACATTGGATTACTTGGAAGTAGAAATTGCTGAAACACTTTGCCAATTCGAGCGTATCTTCCCTCCGAGTTTCTTTGACATAATGGTTCACTTACCAATTCACCTGGAAAATGAAGTCAGATTGGGTGGACCGGTTCAATTTCGATGGATGTATTATATGGAAAGATATTTGGGTGATTTAAAATCTTTTGTTCGTAATAGGAGTCGTCCAGAGGGTTCTATCGCTGAAGCATACTTAGTTAAAGAATCTCTAACATTTTGTTCAAGATATCTGTCTAGTGTTGTAGACACAAGGATGAATAGAATGACACGAAATAGCGATGATACTCCAAACATAGGTCATCCAATCGGGGAAAAGAAACTAATTTCCCTTGATCATAAGTCTCTAAACCAAGCTCACGGCTACATTTTATTCAATTGCGATGAAGTGCAAGAGTATATTAGGTACACTCATCTACTTGATACAAAATTTCATTCTCACTATAAGTTTTCTTTTTCTTTTGTATTAAAATATTAGTTATTTATTTTGTAGAGAGCATGAGGTTAATGATCATAATCCTCTTAAAAAAAAGGAAGTCCAGAAAAGCTAACAATCAAAGAGAAGATTTTATTCAATGGTTTGAAACACGTCTCATGGATGAGAAAGTTACTGAATGGTTGAAGGTGTTGTCTAGGGGACCAAATGATGTTGTTAGAAGGTATTCTGGTTATGTTATTAATGGATACAGGTTTCATACAACAAATCGTGAAGCAAGGCTTAAAACACAAAATAGTGGTGTGACATTAGAAGCGGTGACTCAAGTTCTTAGAAATGCGAAGGATGAAAATCCCAAAAAGATTTGTGTGACTTACTATGGGGCAATAAAAGATATTATAGAGTTAGATTATTATGGTCATGAAAAATATGTATTGTTCAAATGTGATTGGTTTGTGGATGAAAAGGATAAATATGGATCGCCGTTGGTTTACTTTAACAAAAAATGCTACAAAAATGATCCATTTGTGTTGACATCTCAAGTTCAACAATGCTTCTTTATTGAAGATCCTTTAAACAAAAACAAACACTATGTTCTAAATGCACTTCCAAGGGAATCATTTGACATGGGAGAATCTTTAAGTACAGATGTCCAAGAATATGATATTTCAACAAATCTTAATACGTTAAGGGATGATTGTGAAGTGGATTTGGTTAGGAAAGATTTGCCGGATGATATCTTTGAAATTCCTTTGTCAGAACTTCACAACCAAAAAGCAATAGAGAGTGATCACAGTGACACGAGTTATGGAAGTGACGATGAAACCGATTATGATTCTAGTACTGATTAGGTAGCATTGACAATGTGTTTTACCAATTTTTTTAATAGATTTTGAGTAGAAAATAGATTTGTTCAAAGTTTAATTTATGGTTAAGCATGCTGTCATTTTTTTACTTAAACCATAACAAACTAGATTCAAATATACTGTTAATTTATGGTTATGCATAATGTCACTTTATACTCAATTTTTCATTATATAATTATGTAATTTTCCCCCTTTGTAGATCATAGTTGTTGGCCATAATGGACAATGTAAGAAGTGTAAAAGATGGTGGATCACATAGGAAGAGTGGTCGAAGTCCTACTAAAAGATTTGATTTTCCTTTTCAAGTAAGATCAAGTGCAGAATTGAGAAATAAAGTGCTACAACATGTTAAGAAAGAAAAAATTGACAAGTTACATGAGATGCTACAAGGAAACAATAGAGAAAGGGTTCAGGAAATTATAGAAGTTGTGGACGGTAAATCATTTTCTTGTTTCATTTGATTTTATATAAAATGATGTATGTTAAAGTTATGTTTTGAAATTCCTTTAGATATATTATTCCTACTGTTTTTTAATGAATTTTTACAAAAATTAGAAACACCAAAAAAAGGAAATCAACAAGAAAGAGTTCAAAAGGTTGATCACAATTTGGACAAAGAGACTATTGCAAAGAAAATGGAGATAGACAAACTCTCGCAACCAAAAGTAATGAAAGATCATGCACATGGTGACAAAGAAGTTGTACAAGGTAAGTGATTTTTAAATTTTTCTATTATGCATATATTACATGAAATTATTCCTAATATCTTTTGGTGAATTTTTACTAAAATTAGAAACACCAAAGAAAAGAACTCAAGTGAAAGCTACAGTGAATAGAGAAAGAATTCAAAAGGTTGATGGAAAATTGGACAACCACATTGCTATGAAGAAAGCAGAGAGACCTAAGCTTTTGCAACCACAAGCTAAGGAAGTTTTTGCACATGGAAAAATAGAAGTTTCACAAGGTAGTTAATATCCCTGCATATACTTTAAATTTATATATTTCTTTTCATGACATTATTATGACAAGAAAATTACATTGAAACCAGGAATGCTGAAAAAAAGAATTCATGAGAATCTACTAGAGAACAATAGAGATAAAATTCAAAAGTTGGAAAAACCAGTTGCAAGGAGAATACTTATTTCTTCCAAAAATAAGAAACCAGAGAAATCTACTCTATCTTTGAACACAATGATGTCAAAAGCTGAATGCTCTAAAAAGCTAAACAGGGTGCCCGAATGCCCATCAATGTTTATTGATGATTATGTAGATCTTCACAAGTCAAAGGAAATGGATGCAACCAAGTCAAACAATGGAGAAAAACCGGGCAGCAGCGTTAACCGTAGCTCTAATCAAAATCAGCCAAAAAAAGGAACTCGACACGAAAGTGTTCAAAATCGGGCAAAAGTCAACGAAGAAGATGCAATCACAAATAGAGAAGAAGAAAAAGGTAATTAGTTTCATATTTCATAATAATGATTTCATGTATTATTTACATATTTGTAGCAAACATGTGATATCATGTTGTTGTGTTGATTACTTTATAGAAACATTCCAAAGAAAAACTCGTGGGAAAACTTTGTGCAAAAAGATTCATGCAAGAACTTTGGAAGAGCGAGTAGAAGTGACCTTTAATGAGGATTTTCAGCCAATTGGTCCTAGTGAAAAAGTAGTATCTGACTTGAGCCTCTTCTTGGGAACATTGGCTAGGAACTCAACATTTTGTCCTCTACGTTACACCAATTGGTCAGGAATGCCAGATGATAATAAAAACCGTTTCTGGAGATATACTAATGTATGTTTTTATCTATTAATTTGAAAGTATAATTATTAAAAAAAAGTGTTTTATTTCTTGATCTTGTATTATCTTATAATTTATGTAGCGGAAGTTTATCTTGCCGGTTGAAGCACGAGATTGGATTGAGACCAATGTTAGAGAGACATGGAGAAGATATAAGCACAAAATTAAGAAGAATCATTTTTTGAAGTATTCCAACATGACCGAGAGACTCAAAAATTGTCCGCCAAACGTGCCAATAGCCCAATTTAAGAGTCTCTGTGCTTATTGGAGTAAGGAAACTATACAAGTAAGATTAATAATTTTTTTTATGTATGTGTGTGAATTTACACCTTTCTATGTATGCCATAATTAAGTAATATTTATTATAATAATTTCGTCAAAATTTAAATATAGGCAATCAGTGAAAATAACACTAGAAATAGAGCTCAACTAAAGTGGATGCATCAAATGGGTCCCAAAAACTTTGCTTTGACTCGTGAAAAAGTGGTAACTTTTTTTTGTTCTCAATAAAGTATTCCTTGTATGAATGTTTCTTTGTTCAATTAAAGTATTCGTGAAAAACTTTTCTTTGACTCGTGAATAGGAATTTTAATTCACATGATTTGTTATGGAATTATTTTGATTTGTGCAGCGTGAAAAGGAAAAAAGAGAGCCCACTCAATCAGAAATGTTTGTTGAAACTCGAAAAGGAAATAAAGGAAAGGAACTGGATGTAGAAACTGGAAAAATAATTGTAAGTAACATTGTTTATATAATACGTTTGCTTAATATAATCGGCCAACATTGTCTATAATAGTAGCTAATATTTTTTTTGTTGTAATTTATCCCAACTTCAAGAAATGGTTGAAAAGGAGGAAAGTGATACAGAAGCTTTTAAAGTTTTTTTTTGGAAAGGGTACGCTGTTATGGGAGAAACATAACTAAAACTTTCTTAAAGAGAAAGGCAGAGATTAATGCTTTGAAACAAGCCCACAGTGAAGAGGTCTTTACATTAAGGGACGAGTTTCAAGATAAGATTGATAGATTGCAAAATGCTTTTAAGACCGTAATACAACAATGCAATCCTCAAATTAATATAGAGTCAATTGAAGATTTGTTAGGATTATCTCATGGAGATGCTAATAGTTTCCCAAAGGATATAAGACCGTAAATGCATTCATTTACATCAATTCATGCTCCATGTCATGGAAAGGTAACCATATATACCAATATTATTGATTTATATTTTTCTAATTATGTTATAGTATCAAAATGGTTGTTAATGTATGCAAAAATTTGCAAGTAGTGACAACACCTAGAATAAAGTAAGTGGTTGAAACTGTTTAAGTTGGATGATGTCTTTTTTTTTGACTTGTAGGTGTTGTCACTACTTAAACAATTTCAACCACTTACTTTATTCTAGGTGTTGTCACTACAAATTTTTGCATACATTAACAACCATTTTGATACTATAACATAATTAGAAAAATATAAATCAATAATATTGGTATATTTGGTTACCTTTCCATGACATGGAGCATGAGTTGATGTAGATGAATGCATTTGCGGTCTTATATCCTTTGGGGAACTATTAGCATCTCTATGAGATAATCCTAACAAATCTTCAATTGACTCTATATTAATTTGAGGATTGCATTGTTGTATTACGGTCTTAAAAGCATTTTGCAATCTATCAATCTTATCTTGAAACTCGTTCCTTAATGTAGAGACCTTTTCACTGTGGGCTTGTTTCAAAGCATTAATCTCTACCTTTCTCTTTAAGGAAGTTTTAGTTATGTTTCTCCCATAACAGCGTACCCTGCCTGGACACTCCTTTCCAAAAAAAACTTTAAAAGCTTCTGCATCACTTTCCTCCTTTTCAACCATTTCTTGAAGTTGGGACTAGCATAAATTACAAAAAAAAAAAAAAAAAAAAATATTAGCTACTATTATAGATAATGTTGGCCGATTATATTAAGCAAACGTATTATATAAACAATGTTACATACAATTACTTTTCCAGTTTCTACATCCAGTTCCTTTCCTTTATTTCCTTTTCGAGTTTCAACAAACATTTCTGATTGAGTGAGCTCTCTTTTTTCCTTTTCACGCTGCACAAATCAAAATAATTCCATAACAAATTATGTGAATTAAAATTCCTATTCACGAGTCAAAGAAAAGTTTTTCACGAATACTTTAATTGAACAAAGAAACATTCATACAAGGAATAATTTATTGAGAACAAAAGAAAGTTACCACTTTTTCACGAGTCAAAGCAAAGTTTTTGGGATCCATTCGATGCATCCACTTTAGTTGAGCTCTATTTCTAGTGTTATTTTCACTGATTGCCTACATTTAAATTTGACAGAATTATTATAATAAATATTACTTAATTATGACATACATAGAAAGGTGTAAATTCACACACATACATAAAAAATTATTAATCTTACTTGTATAGTTTCCTTACTCCAATAAGCACAGAGACTCTTAAATTGGGCTATTGGCACGTTTGGCGGACGATTTTTGAGTCTCTCGGTCATGTTGGAATACTTCAAAAAATGATTCTTCTTAATTTTGTGCTTATATCTTCTCCATGCCTCTCTAACAGTGGTCTCAATCCAATCTCGTGCTTCAACCGGCAAGATAAACTTCCGCTACATAAGATAGTACTACTACTAGTGGCACTTGGCAGTATGCTGCAAAAGATAATACTACTAGTCAACTTCTTATATCAACAACAAATATGAAAATGCCCACACAAACTCAAACAACCATCAAAACACTCAGATTCAACTCAAACACAACGATACGAAATGGAGATCGAAATATAAATGCAGAAATACATACAAACACAGCGGACGACGTGGACGAAAGCAGTTGGACGACGAACGACGAACGAACGACGACGTGGACGACGAACACGGCATGGCAGTTGGACGGAGTGACGAAGAACACGGCGGAGGGTGTGAACGAAAGAGGTTTGACTCGGAGCGGATGAAGGACGGAGCGTCTGAGAGCGCGGCTAGGTTCGGCGAAATGTGTGAACGAAAAAGAAGGAGAATCGAAAGCTGCTGCTTTTGTTTTCCTTATCTGTTTTTTTTTTTTTTTCTATTCTTTTTAATAAGACGTGGCAATAATTGAGAGGACTAGTAATGAAAAATATTTTAAATTCCTGTGTTATAAAATTTTTTATTTTCTGTTTAATGAAATTTTTTTTAATATATATATATATATATATATATATATATATATATATATATATATATAAGTTTTAGAGAAATATTATAATGTGTTAGAAAAATTCCTGTTTAATTGAAATATATATAAGTTTTAGACTAATATATATATATATATATATATATATATATATATATATATATATATATATATATATATATATATATATATATATATATATATATATATATATATATATATATATATATATATATATAATTTTTTATTTTCTGTTTAATTGAAATTTTTTATTTTTAAATTCCTGTGTTAGAAAAATATTTTTTTTATATATATATTAATAATGTTTAGAGAAAAATATTTGTTTTTTAGTGTATAAATTTTGGAGGGAAGATTGCCACCAAAAATTTGATAATTCTAAAAAAATTTATACAACATTTCAGAAATGTAGTCTTTTATTAGAACTAATGTAACAATCTAAAAATGTCCCCAAAAATATTTTAGGGGACAATTGTCAAACATTGCTAAAGAGATAATATTTTAACGCTCTAAAATCGTCCCCAAAAGCAGTTAAGGGCACAATTAACAACCGTTGGCAAAAAAATAAAAGAGTATCGCTCCATAAACGTCCCCAAAAGTATTTTAGGCGACGATTATCAAGGGTTGCAAACATATTTTTGACAACAATCGTAAATCGTTGCCTATATGAATTTAAGGCAACAATTTCTACATGTTACCTAAAAAAGTGTTGCCAGAGACAACAAATGTTGTAGTGTAGTGACGAATTTTCTGACAAATCTAAATCCGTACCAAATTTCAATGTCACAAAATGTTTGTGAGGAAATTTTCTTTCCCTCACAAATGATAACGAAATTAATTTCTCACAAAATCTATTTTTACGTCGCTAAATAGTATGCAAAAAATACATTCGACGAGCATATTTCCATCACTAATTAATAAATGAATAATATCTCCCTCTCTAATTTCCGAGAGAATTTTGTTTCCCTCACAAAATTACTCAATACAATTTTACTGAGAAAATTTGTTTCCCTCATTAAATTAATCATATTAATATTAAAAAAACTTAATTTAATTCCATTAATGATTTTAATAATACAAAATAATTTATTATATTAACAAAATTAAAATCAACAATAAAAAATAAAATATTTTAAATTGTGTTCAATATTATCATAAATCATTAAAGTCAAATTTCTAATGTGAAATATGTATCAATTTCACTCACTACTCTAATTAACCATTACAACAAACAACAACCAAATTTTATCTTACTAAATTAGACCAACACTTTAATTTACAATTAGAATAAAAATTTCTGAAGAATGGAAATTAAAGACTAGTGTGTGTCTTGAGAGATCATTATAATATGCATTAGATAATTAACCGACTTGCAAGTATCAGCTCTTATGATCTTTGGCTAGTTCATAGTGGACAATTAGTGAACAATCAGCATTCTTCTCTTCCAACTCTGCCCCAGATGAAACTGTATCGATCCATATTCTAGTACTAAAACCAAAATTAAAGAAAAAACATTAGTGAAGGAAAAAGAAACTATGCTAAATGTAAAGCAACTGTAATAACCAATAACAGAGCACATAAAAAAAACACAACAATTACCAAAAGACCATGTGGTGGTTGTACTGGTGGTGCTTCTACATACTTGAAATTTTTGCCACGAGTTAACTATGGTAAACTCGTTGATTTATCTGCGGTTAACTATGATATAATTTAAGTTTTTATTTTTTTATATACAAAAGACTTTAGCATAACAAATTAATTATAAAAAATAAATAATATTTAAAATTAAGTTTTTATTTATTTTAAAAAATATTTTAAATTATATTTGTTGAATTAAAATTTAAGATACAATGTCATTATAAATAAATTTTAATTTGTTTTATTTTATATAAATAATATATTAGTGAGAGAATATTTCCCTCACAAAAATATCTAACACATTTATGAAGGAATTTATGAGGGAGATATTGGAGAAGAATAATATTCATCTAAAATTTCTTTACTAAATTTATTTTTATTAATTTTGTGAGAGATTTTGTGAGGGAATTTTTGTGAGGGAAAGTATTCCCTCATTAATTTCTTCACTAATTTTTTTTTTCATTTGTGATTCATCATCTATGTAGTTTTCCCTCACTAAATTCATCGCAGTCAGTGAGGGATTTATTTCTCTCACAAATTTCCGTCTCTAATTTGAATTTTTTTAGAAGTGTACGGGCCTTTTAAGTCATTCGAGTTTGTTTCAGGCCCGCATATAACATCTTAGTATTTCTCCAATTTTCTATTTTATTTCTGTTTTGGATTAAAAGCACATTAAAAGTTTATTTTTCTATTTTATTTCTGCTTTGGACTAAAAGCGCATTAGGGTTTATTTTTATGTACTTAAACACCTTTGGGCGTGGTCGTCAATGATATCTTTGACCATAATAAAATTTAATTATTTTATCTCTTGGTGGATTCCAAAACTTTATGAAATTCTGGTATATCAAAATTCAGATGTCCTATGACATGTTGGGACATCTGATTTGACTTAAACAAACAGACAATGTATAAACATATTAAAACAGTACTGAAAAGCATAAACAACACAAGAATTCTTAATCCAGTTCGGTGACAACAACACCTACTATGGGGCTATCAAGCCAGGAAGAAGATTCCACTATCAGTAGTATTATTTTATGTAAACAACATTCGGTTTACCTAATCACTATCCAATGCAATCTTTATCTCAGAACACCATTTAAGATAAGAGAACCTCTGCTCACTCCCTAGTGATACCTAATTGTTACAACCTTTGGTAACAATATCATCCTACTTGAAAGACACCCTTTCAATATTACGTTCAGTCAAGACTCTTGACTAACAGAAATACTTGATCTTACTTCTCAGCTTTGATCAAGAACAATACTTAAAGTTTTTTAATAGCTTCCTCCAGGCACAATACTACCTCTTGCTTAAAATTTCCGAGGAGAACAATAATAGAGACTACAACTCTATAACATCAATCTAACTCACAACCAAGTGGAACACACAACCAACTCTCCTAGAGAGTGGTACAAACTCATCCCTAATGACTACATATTTTCAATTCACAACTGGTATCTTTTCTTAGGTTACAAAAACTTCTATTTATAACTTGTTTCCCAACTGGACTTGGACCTTCAATCACAGCTCATCAGCTGTTACAAATCAGCAGAAGATTATGCATAACAATATGTCTTCAATCAAATCTTCCTAATTTATCTCCATAATTAGAAAGTGCATATTCTTCAATATTCTTCTTGACCTATAAAACAATGCCATATAGGATTGCATATATTCCCAGAATATTCTACATATGTTAAATCATAACATAATTCATTAATCCAGCTCATTTTAGGCGCGATGTCGTATGCTTCTTCATAGAAAATCTTATCTGATATGTTGCTCCAGATGATGAAAATTTCTCATCTCAACATGTCTCAACATAAGATAGGACTTCTTGTACAACATGTTCCTGTTAGCAAGTTAGCACACCATGTCTAACATATTGTTACTATATTAGTTTTACCAAATATAATGTTAATCACATAATTCAGAGAACTAGCAATCTCCCCCCTTAGATTATTTTGGCTAAAACTAATTTACATAACTGATCAGTGCATTTTGATGCACATCTTTCCACGATTGTACTAATGCATTTCTTTAGTTTATTGTGTTTATTTTTATGTTTTAAATTGTTTTGCTAATTTATCTTATTTTTGCATTTAGTTAATTTTCGTATTTTATTTTTCAGCATGTGCAGCTTTCAATAAAAAATTCATAACTGGAGCTACAGGACTCGGATTGAGGCGTACTAATATTGGTTGGAAAGCTAAGAAAAAGACCTACAACTTTCATGAAGAAGTCGAGAGCCAATTCGGACTGTAGCAAGGTTGAAAAAATTGTTGAAGTTGCAGCACTAGTTTTAGTTAAGTTTCGGGTCAATTAGTTTTGGGCCTGGGTCGTTTGTTTGACCCAGTTGGGTTGTAAAACGGGTCGCTCTCTTTCCCCTTAGGGTAGCAGCCGTGGTACTGTAGCATGGGATTCGAATTCACTGTTCACGAAATTCCATTCACGATTTGGAAAAGCTAGGACGAATGACTATGGAGAACTAATTCCTTTGGGTTGATCTACTGTAATTCAGGTTCCAATACTTGAGATTATTATAATGTTAATTTAAGTTTAATTCCTTTCAATGATATTTTGTGTTATTGTATGCTTAATTCGATTGCATAAAATATATTGATTCAATTTGGTTGATTGTATGATCCTAACATAGACTCATCAC